CAACAGGAGGTGGAACCAGGTTAAGGGCCCCATGGCAGGCGTCATCGCGCAGCTGCTGGGGCTGGGCTGGAACCCAAGGCGGCTGGATAGCTGGACCAGTCCTGCAGGAGATGAGTGGGCGTGCCGGCCAGAAGACATCCCGCGCTTCGGAGCGCTCCTCCAGGAGGTCCAGCTGGGCGCTCAGCAACAGCTCTGGCAGCAAGCGGCGGAGCATCGGCACGGCGCAGGACTGCAGGAGGGGGGCGACCTCAGCTGCAAAGACACTTGAGGAGGAAGCGGCGCAGGGGGCAACGCGCCGAGGCGGCCATGTTGGAGACCATTGCAGTGGCAGGTATTTGGGCGCGGGGGCGGCGCAGAGCAGCGAACCTCAACCAGGAAAAGGAAGACATCTGCGCTAGGTGTGGAGAGGCGGTCGAAACGGAAAAGCACCGCTACTACACCTGCCCCGCTAACGAGGAGATTAGCCACAGCAACAACACAGACCTTGCCAAGAAGGCCATGGGCGCGCTCGACCAGCAGCAGGACGAGCACTTCTGGCTCCGAGGCATCCCACCAGCAGCATGGGCAGTAAAGGTTGACCCAGACGAGGACGTCGAGAAGGCGGCCCACATCTTCTGCACCAGCGCGGAGGCTCAAGCTGCAGCGCAGGCCGGCCACAAAGTCCAAGCCGACTGCGTTTTCACGGATGGCTCAGGGGGGGCAGGTGCGACAGCCAAGGGCCCCAGGCTACGGAGGTGCGGCTGGGCGTTGGTGGCTTTCAGGTACGACCAGGACGGCCTGCCTCAGGAGGTGGCAGCTTGGCACGGCACGATCAGGGCGCCGCGCGCGGTGCCAAGGGCGGAGCTCACGGCCACGAGCAAGGCCATCGGCTACACGACGGCGGCCCCACAACGTGGGCTCAACATCGCCAGCGATTGCAAGTGCGCCCTGGATGCCCTCAAACAGATTCAGGACCCAGAGGACCTCGATTACAGGAGCACCAACTACGACCTCTGGCTCATGGCCAAGCGGCAGCTCCAGAACAGCACCGACCACATCATGGGCCACCACGTCCCCAGTCACATTATCGAGCACCCGACGGAGCTGGAAGGGTGGACCGGACCCACGCGGTGGGTCATAGGCAACGACATGGCGGACAAGTACGCAAGCTGGGGAGCTGAGCACGGTGCGTTGGACCCAGCCATCATCGCACAGCAGCAGATCAGGAACCATATCATGGTGGCAGTCCAGAACAGGCTGCTGGGCATCAGCATGGCGGTGACGGTTGAGGATCTCAACAAGGTGGCTCAGCGACCAAAGGCCAGGCGCAAAAGGCCTTGGGCTGCACGGTCCGCAAACTACATCCGAGATGGTGGTGTGCGACATGCAGAAGCGGCGGGCCAAGCGCACGAGCCTGGCTAGCCGAGGCGGGGGTGCCAGGGAAGAGAAAGCAGCCACCTGGATCAGCACGGGAACGTGAGGCTAGACTTCAAGACAGTGCAGACTGGCACGCAGGTCGTCCATGACACCCACAAGACGCAGCTCACGCAGGGTTGGCTCTGGTGCGAGACGTGTGGGGCCACCAGCGACCTTGGGAACCACAGGAGCCGAATTGTTGCAGGTGTTGCGCGCAAGCTGGCCAAACTCAGGGGAACGTAAGACCTGGGTACAAGGGGCTCGGAAATCCCCGACGAGATCGTCAAAACAATGACGAGGCCGAGCCTGCATTTTGACGAGGCCTCCCGCTGCAGACATCCCACGAAACTCCTCCTCGTCAAAATACGAAGCGCGGTCGTCAGAAAACGATGTCGAACCCGAGTCCTGGCAAACCCGGGTCTTACGCTCCCCCGACAAGCCATGTGTCCCGCCCACTACAGCGGGCCGCAGGGTCATCACGGATTTGCAGGAGGGGAGGCTGCCGCGAAGAGCAGAACAGGACGTGGGCCAAGCGGCAGCCGCGCCACCGGTGGAAGTCAAACCAACAGGGTTCAACCTAGGAGCATGCAGCACAGAAGTGATCGACCTGGGCGGCGAAAGCTCGGAGGCAGAGACACCGCAGCCAGCCCAGCCACAACCCCTAAGGCATCCCCACTCAGTAGTCCAGGCGAGCTGGCGGCTGGTGGACCACATGGAGGGCTACCCAGAGCAGTGGGTGAACATGGTGGACCAGGATGTGTGGGGGGACAAGGGCGACTGGATGGAGCATGTGTCCCGTGCCTGCTCGCCGTCACCAACGTTGGAGGAAGGACGGACGTCCAAGACCAGATGAGGGCAGTCACGCCAACGGAGATCCAACGGATCATCGACTTCTGCGAGGACATCTGGAGGAACACCCACAGGGCGCGAAGGAGGCCCATGACACACATGCTCACCCTCCCGCACGGCACCAGACAGCAGGCGGCAAGGGCACACATGGATGCTTTCCAGGGCAGGCGGGCGACCGTCCTCACCCTCAGCATCCCCAGCAGTGAGCGCAGGCCACTACCCAGCACGGCGGAGGACTACAGAGCGTGGACCCCTGAGAACCTGGACGACAACTCCACGCAACCAGACAGTGAGGAGCCAAAGCTGGAAGGTAATGACAGTGACCACGACATGGACACCATCGAGACGTCTGACCAGCTCAACGATGCCACAACCTGCGCCCAGACCAGTGCGACCTTTCAGGGGATATGCCGTGGACCGCCAAGCCGACAGGGCCCGACCTGATGAAGTGCGCGCGGGAGGCCAAGGACGCAGGCATGCAATACCCGCGACACAGCCAGCAACGAGGAGACGAAGACCAAGACCCAGAGCAAGAGCTGGCCTGGCTTGAGAGAAACCGCCTGGAGCAGCTCATGCAATCGCTGGCAGGGGGCTGGATCCAACAAGCAGGCGAGCGGGGCTGGCAGGCGTGGAGCGCGGCGTGCGTACCCCACGTGCTGAGGGTGCTCCAGACTGGTCCATGCCAGCGGCTCTTCAGTGACATCCCAGGGCCCAGCAAACAATACAGCCAGCGCAGAGCGGCGGAAGAGATCTGCCGCATGGCCTGGCCCAGCAGTGGAACGGAACGCAAGAGGATCCAGCAGCAGGACCCACGTGAGGCAGCACGACGCAAGGCCATGGCAGAACAGTTCCTCGGAACGGTCACGCCAGCAGCTGAACGAGAAGGAGGCCCAGCACCCCAGCGCGGTGAGGGGTTAGACCGAAGCGCCCCCCCAGCGCGGCGAGGGGTTAGGCCACGGAGGTTCCTAGCGCGGTGATGGGGTTAGACCGCACCGACCCCCAGCGTGGCGAGGGGTTAGGCCACGGCGGGCCCCAGCGCGGTGATGGGGTTAGGCCGCAGCTGGCCCCCGCGTGGCGAGGGGTTAGGCCACGGAGGGCCCCAGCGCGGTGACGGGTTAGACCGCAGCAGGCCCCAGCGCGGCGAGGGGTTAGGCCACTCAGCACCCCAGCGCGGCGAGGGGGTAGGCCGCAGAGGACCCCAGCGTGGCGAGGGGTTAGGCCACGACGGACCCCAGCGCGGTGAGGGGTTAGACCGCAGCAGGCCCCCGCGTGGCGAAGGGTTCAGCCACACGGAGCACCCCAGCGCGGTGAGGGGTTAGACCGCAGCAGACCCCCGCGTGGCGCGGGGTTAGGCCACGGAGGACCCCAGCGCGGTGATGGGTTAGACCGCGCCGACCCCCAGCGTGGCGAGGGGTTAGGCCACGGCGGACCCCAGCGCGGTGAGGGGTTAGACCGCAGCAGACCCCCGCGTGGCGCGGGGTTAGGCCACGGAGGACCCCAGCGCGGTGAGGGGTTAGACCGCGCCGACCCCCAGCGTGGCGAGGGGTTAGGCCACGGCGGACCCCAGCGCGGCGAGGGGGTAGGCCGCAGAGGGCCCCAGCGTGGCGAGGGGTTAGGCCACAACGCAGAGCGACAGAGACAGGCAAGCAGAACGCCTGCGCGAGGGCCTTCAGCCTGGCGGCCCGCCGTGAGCCCAGAGCCGACAGCTGCCAGCCGTCCAGCGCCAGGCAAGGAGGCCGAGCAGGCCCACGGGTCCAGGGATCAACGGCTAGAGCGGTCCCTGGACGAGCGCAGAGCCGAGGAGCGGCAGCAGCCGTCCATCAGGCTGCTCCTCGAGCTCTAAGCTCGCGGCGGCAGCAAGTTCATCTGTCTGCCGCCGCTCGATGGGTGCTGCGACTCATGGAGTCAGCCGCGACGAGAGGTGGCAAGGACGCCGTGCGATGAGGCCGCTGGCCCACCCCGCCTCGGGCGCGTCGCCTGCGCGGGGTGCCGAGACCAGGGGCACCCACTCGCGGGCGTGAGCACGCGGGTTTTAAAACTCCGTCTCCTCCTCCTCCTCCTCCTCCTCCTCCTCCTCCTCCTCCTCCTCCTCCTCCTCATCCTCCCCCTCCTCCTCCTCCTCCTTCTCCTCCTGCTCCTCCTCCTCCTCCTCCTCCTCGGTAGCAGAGGCGAGGAAGCTGACTCCAGCAACACACGCCGATCTGGCCTGAACAAACAAAATGAAGACGTTGAGAGGAAATCCTGTCTGTGCTGCGATCGTCTGGCGGCAACCACGTTAATCTCGACCATCGCACACATACAATGCAGTTGAATACATACCAAAACAAAAGCCCTTCAGTGTCAGATCGTCCCTGAACGAATCAGAGGTGGCATTCTTGCACAGGGATGTCCCCCGAAAATGTTACTGACCACGATGCTCATATCTTTCAATCTCCCCTGCCACTGAGTCTTGAATCAACAACTGCCACTGGGAGTGATCAGATCTCTCAGTGGCATTCTCAAGTAGAGTATCTTACATCGTGCCCTTGAAGCATGTTGGTTGGAGCAACCGCGGGCGTGATTACCTCCTCCCGTCCAAGAGCCCCAGAGAAAGATGGAACAAGGGGGATTGTTCCTACATGCTCCAGCACCTAATGCTGCTGCCCCTCCTCATTATCATACGTTCTCCTTCTCTTTGCTCCCTCCTGGTCGCCGCTGCCGTCGCCGTGGTCGCCGCCACCGCGATCGCCGCGGCAGTCGTCGTCACCAGGGCGTGCCACGGCGAGGGTGGCGAAGCCGAGCGCCAGGAAGGCCAGGTGCTCCGTGGGCCAAGACTGGAGAGGCGGGTGCAAGGCGCGAGGGGGGGGAGGCACGAAGGGCCGGTCGGTTTCGCCCGCGGTCGGTTTCGCCTGGTCGGTGTCGCCCGCGGCCGGCTCCGCCGCCGTCATTCGTTCTCGTAGTCGGTGCCGCAGATCCAGCCGCCAACGAAACTGACCCAGGCGAAACCGACCCCTGCAAGACCGACCCCGGCGAGGAGGAGAACCCGGACCAGGGATGCGCGCCGAGGAGAGTTGGGGGGCCACATGCGAACCCTACCCCTACCCCCCACGATTTCTGAGGGGGAGGGTGGGGTGCACTTCGTTCGGGAGCACCCTCCCCTCAGAAATCGTGGGGGGTAGGGGTAGGGTTCGCATGTGGCCCCCTAAGAGTGACCGGCGGCGGGCCCGAAGCCAGCGGCGCGCGGCAGATCTCGTGACCCCCTGTCCCATCCCCCTGTCGGTCCACTCGGCAGGGGTGGCAGCGGAACCAGTGGCTACGACGAGACTGCCACCTGAAGGGACATCGTCCAGCGAGTCAAGACTGGGAGGTCTCTGGAGCGCCTGGTGGCAAAGATGACGTCGAAGAGTCGTTCGACGATGCCACCTGACCCTTCAGGCAAGGCGCGGGATGAGGCAGGCGGAGGCGAAGGACAGGCTGCAACAAGGAGGAGAAAGAGCACCACATCCTATCAGAACACTTCTGGTCCACTGGCTGCTGCTACCCTTATAGCAAGGGTGCTGCTGGCCTTCCTCTACTTCGCGCATCGCGCACGTGGGTGCACAGAAATCGTGGCGCCCTCGCCCCTGGAGGTTACCTAATGGTCTCGACGCTCGACCCCTTCCCTGGGTCCAATTGTTCATTCCGGCTAGTTTTCTGACGGGCCCGTCCCGTGAGGACCCCAGGAGGCCGAAACCTGTCACAGAAACGCAGTCCGTCAGAATGCTTTTCGCAACGCGAGGAGGACTGGGTCAAGGCATCATTCGCCGACCCCTGGACCTGTCCAGGAGTCCCTGCCAGCTATAATTTCAAGGCAGATCAAATGGCAGGAAACCTTGCAAAAGTTCGATTCTCGATCCCACCCCAAAAAAGGCATCAACATACGCAGAACATATTGTCCACACGAAGTGTCCGCACGGATGTGTTGGATTCGACGTTGGGCGCCCCCCACCATGCCTGACGCGCGGAGCGCGCCAGGGGTAGCGCTGGAGGCGCCGCCAGGGGGGCCCAGCTCCGATATAACAAATCAGCGGGGACCTCCGAAAGTTGAACTTCCTCAAATTCGCCGGCCCAACGGGCCAGAGGCGTGCTAAGATCTCCGGTAACTGGTTAACAATTGTATTGTACTAGTTCGCGCGCGCGGGGCGGCCCCTGGGGGCCCCCCGGCGAAAAGTACCCCGCCCGCCGCCTGGCAAGGTCCCGCCCGGTTCAACTCAGAGATGGTTTTCCTTCTGGGTGCGGCCTCTCAGGCTGCCCTGAGCGCGCCAAGAGTGCCCCAAGAGGCCCCCAAGATTGCTCAAGAGGCCCCCGAGACGTTCAAAGAGCGCTCCAAGGCGCCGAAGATGACCCCAAGACGGCCCAAGAGACCCCCAAGACAGCCGAAGAGGCCTTCAAGACGCCCCAAGAGCCTTCCAAGAGGCCTCCGAAGAGGGCCCCAAGAGGCCAAAATCGTTGATTTTCATTGGTTTTTCCGATGTTTTTTGCGTTCTGGCTTTTTCGGCTTCCGGACGCTCCAAGACGACCCAAGAGGCGCCCAAGATCGCTCCAAGACGGCCCACGAAGCTCCCAAGACGGCCCCGAAACGGCCCAAGAGGGCCCCCAAGACGGCCCAAGTGCCGCCCAAGACGGACCAAGAGGCCCCAAGACGGGCCCAAGAGGGGCTCAAGAGGGATACAGAGAACTGAAAAATCGAGCCCTCCGCCCCAGAAGCCGCCCAGGAGGTCCCAAAGAGGCCCCAAGAGACCCCCAAGAGGCCCCCAAGACGCCCCAAGAGGCGCCCAAGAGGCCCAAAAGAGGCCCCAAGAGGCCCCAAAACTCGGCCGACGACCTCTCATCCAGTCGACCGCGGTGCGCAATACGGGCCGGCGGAATGAGCGAAGCGATTAAATAATTTCTCCGAAGTCATCGAAGCTTGAGGCGGGGCCTCAGAGGCCCCCTATCACCCCCTCTTCCGGTTGCACGCAACCTTCTGCTTCTCCTGCTTCTCATCCCCCCCTTGCCTCTTCTTCGCTTCCTTCTGCACGGGCCTCTTCCTCCACCTCCTCCTGCTCATCTGCCTGTGCCTTGTGCCCCCGCAGAAAGGTACCGATACAGCTACTCCCGGACCTCTCCCAGGGACGCGCTCCGACAAGAATTTCGAGGATGACCAGGCCGTGGCGACGAGGGCTCTCCAGGACGAGCAAAAGTACAGGTAACTATTATTTCATCCTGCGATCCTCGCTCTCCTCTTCATTTTTTGTTGGGGGTACCTTCTGCGATCTGTGGACCTGGCGCCTGCGCGCCAGTTCCACGGATTCCGAATCCATGTGAACGTGCACCCTGTCCTCCTTGACCTCGCTTTCCTCCTCCTCCCCTCCATCACTACCAATCCTCGGTACCTACTTTCCCAATGTGTTGTTTCCATCCCAAAGGGAGCCAGGATCTGGCCAGGACAAAGAGCGGGCTTTATTCACATCCAAATGGCCCACCCAACGTGGCTCGAGAGGCCCAATTTGGAGAATGCACAGTGCGTCAATAGTGTCATCTTTTGCCGCGACGTTCGTTGGGCTCGTCAGGACGAGCAGTGGCATCGTTGCCTATCCCCCGCCTGACCCTCTTCCTCGTTTATTTGCTCCTTTCCTTCCTCCAAGACGTCCGACGTCGTGATGTTTCCCGTAGTGGGCCCGCAAAGGTCTGGACCCCTTCCCCAGGACCGGCTTCTCGTCCCGAGTCGTTGCCTGACGGCCCCAGAGCCCAGAAAGGGGCCCAAAGGGACCCAAAACGGCTACAAACCGCCCGTCGCGATGTGTCACATCCTCCTCCTCCTCCTCCTCCTCCTCCTCCTCCTCCTCCTCCTCCTCCTCCATCTCCTCGTCCTCCTCCTTCCTCCTTCTCGCTCCTCCTCCTCCTCCTCCTCCTCCTCCTCCTCCTCCTCCTCCTCCTCCTCCTCCTCCTCCTCCTCCTCCCCTCCTTCTCCTCTCGGCTGCGCGCAAGAATGGACCGTTGTGTCGGGAATCGGCCTGTGCTGGTGGCTGCAGGACCGTTGTCGGGGATCCTGGGCCTCCACCTGTTCCCTGCCTACACACCGGGTGTCCTTGAAGACCGGTGTGTTTAATTTGGCCGGCCGGGCCTTCCAGGCATGGCATTTTTCTTGGTTTCGGTCGTCTTTACCTTCCCTCCCTTTCGTCCTCTTTCTTCTCGCCCTGGCCGTGTGTCACGATCTTGATGGCTAGCTGGGCCACGCGTCCCTCACGAAATCTGGGTTTGGGGCATTTCGCCCGCAAACTCGTGGAGGCTTTTTTAAAGCTTTTGTGGAGCCGGCAACCGCCTTGTATTCGCAAGTAGATCATTGTGCACCCAGACTTGCCCCCTCCAACTCAGATGGACGCGCTGCTGGACGCCACGGAAAAAATAGACAAGAGTGACCTCTGGTGCGCGGCTTCAGGGGGCCGCGGGGAGAACAAATCTACGCAATCCAAAGCACGCCAGCCGGTGCTGGAAGGACCCCTGATTACCCGCATCGAGGTCGTTCCGGCGAACATGGTCACTTTTACGCGTATTCGGCTTCTCCTCCTCCTCCTCCTCGACCTACGTTAGACCGACATCAGGAGCGAGCCTGTTGAGTTTGTGATGTGCTGCCTAGAATGAATAAGGTACGACTCGGGTCAAAGAGGTACCTGGCGGGCACCGCGGAAAATGAAATAAAAGACGAACTCAAGACTAGTGTGAATAGTCGGCGCCCGCCAGGTCTTCGAGGTAGGCACTAACCCGAGTAAACAAGCACCTCAAGTGGTTAAACATACCCCCCCAAATTTACAAAGGTAGTGTCTCCCCGGGTGGCACGAGACCGTAACAGGTGCAAGAAGCTACGCTGAGCAGCAAGTAGATGAAAAGACGTACTTAAGCATGTCCGCTCTACCCTCCCAGCATATGCCGATAAGAGCCCCCCTGACTCCCGTCGTATAGTCATGCCGTACCTGCCAGTACGCGAGCATCACATGTAAGAAACTTGACGCACTGAGCTAGAATGCTTGGCACTTCCAATAAAAAAACGTGACGTTGCGCCGCTAGAGCGCAGTGACTGACATAGGGTCCTCCCAATCCCCGCACCACCACCCAAAATCCTTCTCACACCTCCCCCAGCCGTATAGTCATACCCGCGGGTGCGCGAGCACAAATAAGACAAACGTGCATACTTAAGCAGGTCAGCTGGGCACTGGCAATCAGAAACGTGGCAAGTGGCTGGCACATATCTTGCTGGCTGGCCACGCTGTGGCAACTGCAGACTGCCTGGTTAAAAGGGTCGCAGTGACGCTTAGCAGTGCCCATCGAAAGTCATTCCTGCAAGTACGCGAGCAGCACAAGTAAGACAAGTGGCGTACTTAAGAAGGTCTGCTGGGCACTGACAGTAAAAACGTGGCGTTGCGCCGCCAAAGTGCAGTGACTTCCTCCTCCACCTCATCACATGCCGATAATAATCCCGCACCTGTTATACCTGCGAGTGCGCAACCACAAGTAAGGTAAAATGGCGAACTTAAGCAGGTATTCTGGGCACCGACAGTTTGTTATACACATATATAGAGAGAGAGAAAGAAACAAAAAACGTGGCGCTGCGACGCCAAAGTGCCATGCTTGTGTTAGGTATCGCCGGCTGGCCTTTTGAGGCTGGCCTTAGAGGTGGGGGGCACTATCTGTGGTTTGGGTGCTCCTATGACGTCCTACGTGGGCAGACTGTTCACGTGCAGTCCAGTGAAAAAATGAATGGGGCTTGCTGTTTGACTGCTGCGCAGTAGTAAATCTCCAAAGTGCTGCTGCTTGGCTGTGTCCGAGGCCGCATGTGCGATACTTCGAAGCTTACCGAGTCTGAGAAATAGGAGCGTGTGTGAGTGGCTGGTGCATGTCTTGCTGGCTGGCCACGTCCTCCTCCTCCTCCTCCTCCTCCTCCTCCTCCTCCTCCTCCTCCTCCCCCTCCTCCTCCTCCCCCTCCCCCTCCCCCAATGCTCCTCCTCCTCCTCCTCCTCCTCCTCCTCCTCCTCCTCCTCCTCTTCGTCCTTGTCCTCGTCCTCGTCCTCCAAACCCTCCTCGTCTTCCTCGTCCTCCACGTCCTCTCCCTCACCCTCCTCCTCTTCCTCCTTCCCCCACCTCTTCCTCCTCTTCCCCCACCTCCCCCCCCCTCCTCCCCCACCTCCTCCACCTCCCCCTCCCCCTCCGTCCCACCCGCGAGGCCGGCAACGCGGCGGGCAGCCCCAGCGCGAGCGGCGCGGCGGCCCACGCGACCGCCCTCGAGGCCCACGGGCTTGCCGCCGCCATGGGCCGAGGGCGCCGCCGCCGCCCGCGCGGAGGAGCTGCCGTAGGGGAGGGGGGGGGCGATGAGGAGGGCGAGGAGGAGGGTGGCGAGGCAATTCGCTGCTCCTATACTGTTCCCCTTTCCTGCACCGCACGGGCCCGCCGCCTCATTCAGTATCGTTCCCACTGCGCCTAAATCATCTTGTTCTACACCCGAGGTGCGGTGCAGGTTTTGCACCTAGAGTCCTATCAATGCAAAGAGAGGGTAGCGAGGAGGGCGAGGAGGGGCGATGAGGGGAGGCGAGGAGGACGGGGGCGAGGAGGGCTCGTAAAAATTTTTTTGGGGGGGGAGGAGGAGGGGAGGAGCGAGGATGAGGGCGAGGAGGGCCGGTAAAGCCTCGGAGGGGGGGGGTACAGGGGAAGGGGGGGGTGAGGAGGAGGTGGGGGGAGGACGACTGGTTGGGAGATAACACTTGGGAAATGTTCGTAAAAACGATTGAGGGCCTCAACTCAGCCCGACTGAAGAGCCATTGAGCAAAGCTGGGCCAGAGTAAGCCCAATATGCAAGCCCGATCAAGCGGGATGACGCAACTGAGCAGGATTATGCCGGATTGGGCCAGTGAGAGGGGCGAGGAGGGCTGGTGAAGCCTCGGGGGCGGGGGGGGGCGGGGGCGAGGAAGGGCAGGGGGGAGGAGGGGGGGCGAGGGGCAGGGGCAAACCAGGTGCGCTCGCGCCATACCTGATATCCAATCCCCCTCCCATCCTTTCACCTTGCGCTGATGGTTCTCCATCCGCGGCGCGTGTCAGACCACCCTGAAACTACCAAACAGACCCCATCGTCTTATGCACAATCGGACAAAGGGACTTGCGTACAGGAGAAGGAGAAGGAGGAGGAAGAGCAGGATGAGGAAGAAGAGCGACGTGGACGAACAGCACGAGCAGGCGCTGGAGTGGAACGAGTGGGAGGACTTCGGGAAGGCGGAGAAAGCGAACTGAGGGGAGCGACAAAGAAAAATAACTCGGATCCGTAAAAGCGGCCCGCGCTGGGGCGAGAGCGATATTCTGAACGACGGGAGCGAAACGCCGATCCCGAAATGAGGCTCACGCTGCAGCGGGAACACCAAGTTGAAACACCGACAATATTCTGGTGGTAAAAACCAGAAACAAAAAAACAACTATTGACACCTTCTGTAAACAATCATCCGCGGACACGAAGAGAGTCGGGGGTGGGGAGGATAGTGGTACTCATAATATGGCGCTGTGGAGCGGAGGGGGGGAGGAGCTGCGAAAGGAGGGGGGCGAGGAGGAGGGGCGCGGGAGGACGGGGGTGGCGAGGAGGACTGGTCAGGAGGTAACTCCTGGGAGGTCTTCGTAAGAACGATCGAGGGCCTGTCAATGCGATTCAAGGAGCCATGCAGCCAAGTAAGGCCACGTGAGGCTCAATATTCAGCAGGATCAAACAGGGATGAAGCGCAATTGAACAAGATGATGCTGGATTAGGCCGGTATTCGACCACGGATGTACCAGCGCTGATGCCGAATGTAACCTTCCAGGAGCTGCATCCGAAGACCGGTAAAGCTTCGGGCTGCGCGCAGGAAGCCCCCCCCCCTCCGAGGTGGTTCCAGCTGGCCTCAGCAGGACCCCGGAAGGCCCCGAAAGGCCCAGGGCGGTCTCCACACCCTGGCGCCGCCTCCGGCGGCGCCCCCCTGGGGCGCTCTGTGCGCCCCAGTGCTGCCGCTGCGGACCGCTCGGGGGGCCTGCTGAGGCCAGCTGGGGCTGCCTCGGGGGGGCTCCGTGTGCGCAGCCCGAGGCCTGACCAGGGAGGACCCCCGCCTCCTCCCGCTGCAGAGAAAATTCGTCCGGCGGTTTTCGACAATGTTCGGCTTCGGGGGGCCTTGCGGGGCCCAGACGGGCAGAGCATGACTCACGATGGGAAACTTGTCCCGGAGAAGGTGGTCCAGACCCCGGGGGTCCACGTTCCGGGGACGTGGCGAGGAGGACGGCGACGACGAAGGCGAGCAAGAGCTCAGGGAGGAGGGCAGAGGAGACGGGACGACGAGGAGAGGGTCGAGGAGGACATGACATGACGACGAGCTGGGGGAGGAAGGCGATGAGGAGGAAGGGCGACGCGGCGGAGGAGCCCGGGGAGGAGGGGCAACGATCGAGCAGGAACAACACCTTCCTCAAAGTCCCAAACCGTTCGAAACACGCTCGAGCCATGCTCTCTACTTAGTCGTTTCTCCGTTCGAGGTACCCTGAGACAAGGTCTGTGGCGCATGCTGACGGGTATGTGGAATTGGGCTTGCGCCGTTCAAGTGGATCTCAGCAGCAAGGTCTGTTCGCACACGTCTTGTAGTTCGTTACTCAATAAGTAATTCCACTTCATTTGGGCAATTACCTTGGTGTGTGTGTGTTGGCATGTCTGTGCCCAATGCTTGCATTTCTGAACAAGATCCCTCCAGCTACGATGCGTGCCTGTCATGCAAACGTTGATATCTACCTCATCTGCCTAGCTGTAGCGCGACCGACTATAGGATCAATCAGTACATTGTGTAGTTCGGAGTCCGCCGCAAACTCCTAATCTCACTAACTTGGGCTGTGTTTGGGGCTCAGGCTGCGAAACTGAGGGTGGCGCTCGTAGTCAAACTTGAATTCGAGGACGGTTGGGGCAAGGTGTACGAGCCCGTGCGTTTGGGACCAAATTTGTGCGATAAGGGCGTTTCAGACTAGGTCTCCAGCTCGTGCTGTTTGGGCCCGGGTCTGTGAAACTCTGAGACGACGAAAACGACGGGGAGGAAGCGACAAGAAGGATGAGGAGGGTGGGAACGATCACTCGAGTGAACCACTGGGCGCCGTGGAAGGGGGGGAAGCTTGCTTCTCCCTCCATTTTCCGCCTCCTCTGCTGCTCCTCCCCTCCTCCGCCTCCTACTCCTCCGCCTTTTCTCATTCCCCCCGCTTCATAATCTCACCCTGCTCCTAGTCCTCCTACATTTTCTTCCTCCTCCTCCTCAGAGCCCTCCTCGCTCGTTGTCCTCCGAGGAGGGTGGGATCTGGCAAGGCTTGGGGGTGTGCACAAAGGACCCCTGAGGTAATGGCTGGAGTCAAGCACCCCCCCTCCCGAGTAGCCAAGGGCGGCGCCCCTGAGACGTTCCGTGCCCCAACCTCGCAGGGTTGTCGGTGCGCAGTCCTGAGCCTTACAGAAGAACATCCACCGATTTGGAAAAGTGCCTCCGATGGTGGTTGATTCGACTACGGTTAGTTGATGTCGCGATGCCGTCGGCGTTGGTATCTGGCACCACGTTGATCATTCAACCTCAAATGATGGCGGCCTCCCGATATCGCAGATCGATCAACACCAGGCAACTGGCAGCGTTCAACTTTGAACGTCCGCGCTGTGGTACGTAGCCACCGCGTCAACACGGCAACAATATACCGTGCCTTCCCGTCTCCTGTCTACACCCAGTGCTCCGCGCCATCCTCGGGGAGAACGTCTGCAAAGACGGCGATGTGGATACTCCCCAGCGTGGGGATACGGGGGGTGAGGAGGTGGAGGATGATGCGTACCGCGGGTTCGTGTCGTGCTGACACTGGCGTTGGTTCCTGACACCGCGGGGACCCCTCAACCTTGAACGATCGGCCTTTTCTGAAACGTCAGATCCTCCCACATCGGCCAGTTCTGGGTCGCCAACGGCGATCCACGCGGAACGCCGGCGGGGTCGCCGCTGGTCGACACGACGCGAACCTACCGTACAGTAGGGGGCCGACCAATCAGAAACCTTCCACAAGAAACCCAGCCCTGAGACCCCAGGATGTTCATTGATGTCTGGCGTGGGAAAGTCACGCCTTCAAGGGCACCCTGGAGGCAAGTAAGGTGTTTCTTGGCATGGCCCCCCACCGCAAGGGGGCAAGGAGGTCGGAGGGTGGCGGAGCAGAGGCGGGGGATGTGATGGGGGCGAGAACTCGCCTGCGATCCGCCTCTTTTTCACGTGCGGAAGTCGTCAGCAGAGTGCCCGAGCGCAGCACCACATGTGCGGGGGGCCCGTCCGCTGCCCACCTCGCCGAACTGCGATCTGGGCCGATATCCAGGGCCCCAGGGATCGGTGTATTACATGTCCCCCCTCCAAGCTGGCGGGGGGGGGCGTGCCAGGCCATTTGACGATGCGATTCCCCCACGGCTTCTTGCTTAGAGTCTTAATGATGCGAAAAATCTGACACCTGCGGCAGCGTTCGGGGAGCTGTCGTGATGTCGGATACGAGTTGTGTCGAATAAGATGCCTCTTGGGCGGCCACGCCCACATCAATCCAAGACAGGATACAATATCCTGTTCTGTCTCAGGGAGCGGAACATCAAACAACAAATGAATACACAACGCGTTTTCCCAATCGTGCGACTTGCAACATAGTACACCGACACCAGGAGCCCCTCAGGAGCCTCTCAGGACCCTCAGAATATATTTTCAAGAGCATTTCAAGAGTCTCCCAGGCCCTGTAGCCTCTGTGGTTCGCTTGGGCATCGAAGGATTGATCAGCGCTTTGCCACTGCATGGCCAGTCATACATGGCTATCACAGAACCCCGCGGGGGATATGTTTTAGACCTTCTTGGGGGTAACTCTGGAAAGGGAAACGACTCAAGCGATGTAACCATCGACCTGAAACCGGCGACACGCTGCCGCTGTTGGGCAGGCTGCATTCTTTCTCAGGGAAGGGCCGGCTCAGGGGGGAAACCAACGACCTGGCGACGGCGATGCATCACCGATAGATCGGCGACAAGCCCCCGATAACGAAACCGCGCGTTCCTGGGCGGGGTAGGCTATCAGGCCCCCATCGGCGATGACTGGGCGATTGGGGGTCCATGCGCTCCCCCACGAGCCGATCCCAAACTCACGTTGCCGCTGAGTCCTCAACTGGTAGGCCCGTGGCCTTTTAGGTGAAACTGTCGCCCGCTGCGTCAGCGGAAGCCCCCAAAGCTCCTCTCCGCAACCCATGGAAGGACCGGCTCAGAGGGGGACCGGCTCAGGGGGAAACATCGACCCGAAATCCGCCGACCCTGTCGGCGTGCG